GACCTCGGCTATGAGGTTAGTTTTAGGTGAAAGATTAGTAGATAGAGAAGTTAGTAGAAAGTGGTTGCGCGGAGCCGTTTGAAGAGGGATATGGCCGGGAGCGAAGATCGAGTATCTCGCTCGTTTCTTGGTGAAATCAAGCGAGGGAAAACTCGTTTTTGGGGTTTTGGGGGCGGGCGAATCCGTTTCTAAAGTCGGATTTGGCAAGGAGTTAGTAAAAAGGGGGCGAAGAGGAATAGGAGCTGCGTGGATATGGCATAAGGAGGGTGGAAGAGGAAAGGGGAGAATTGATAACTCACTCGATTCTCCACGGAATAGAGTGAGAGGAGATGGAAACTTATAGTTTGAGGATCTGGTGATCACGTTGGTGGTGTTAGATTAGACGAAGGGTAGTAGAATAGGCRTAGTGGAAGGAATGTGGTGCGCCGAGTGAGTCGGGAGTGAGGGAGCAAGGCGGAAAAAGGGGATGGCTAGAAGGACAATGTATGCTTCCSCGTTCTAGCGGAAGATTCATTCAAACTCTCACCTACCTTGCGAAAGGCGGACGCCGCTGCTTACTGAGATTGTGGGGCTCACCCCCCCGATGCTCGATCGTAATTCCTGTCCCGATCCCGTTCGTCATTGCGCCCCGAATTGCGTGTTGCTTCCTGTCGAAGTTCAAGTGAACCTGGCCAATGCCAATGGTCGGGTGCAGTCATGCCTCAGAGGCTATCCGAGGGAGTAGCATGAGTCCGTCTGTGCGGGTGATCAGGACTTACCTGTCAGCTGGGGATCTGCCTGCTTGTCGGCTGGAGTAGGGCGAGGCCGGCGGTACTGCGCACGAGAGAGAGAGAGGGAGACGAGTCGGTCGACTGGCGGCAATCCGGATCCGGTCAGCTGGGTGTTGCGGGGGGGGGGGGGGGGTTCATCCTCCATTCTACATGATTGATGGGTAGGGGAGCAGGGCGGTTCTCCCCTCGAGCGTGCTGCGCTGTTATTCCCTCCTTGCCACGATCGGTGAACCTGGGCACGTTTTTGGGCGAGGTGCATAGAGATAGGCGAGTAATAGCGAAACCTGATATTTGGC